TAAGTTCCTTGGTTATGAATATATGGTTCACGCTGGCTTAAAAAGCAATACGGCACAACTTTTAACTTGATAATTTTAAATAACAACTTTTAACAATAAATAATAACTTTTAATAATGGAACAGACCGGTAAGACGATACGATTACGAAGTTGATCAATTGAGGTGGTGAGAGCTGAATAATCCTGATAAGCTCGCTAAGCTTTCATTATACACTTTCAAAAGGAGTCCGCATAGTAGCAGTAATTTACTGTAACCAAATCGTGGCCTTCCGATAGTCAACCAATATCTTGTGCATAAAAAATTTATCCACGTGCTATATTCAATATTACTTACGACGTTCGTCTATCAGAGAAAGGTGCAGCGCCTCCTGACGCAGCGTTTCGTAACTGCACAAAACGACGTCGTATTCAGATAACGTTTTTGGTTGCACATATCCCACAGTACGAACGCCTTCATATATCTAGAAGAAATACTGTTTACTGACACGATCGAAACCCATATAAATGTCTTACATAGAAGCTCAGAGCGCCAGGTCGAATGTGTTTCTGGATTTCTTCATTCCACTGATTCAAAATCGATGCAGGACACAAAATAAGCGTCGTTTTGCACATCAAGCTACCCTGTAACAAAACAACAAATGACATGTCACCTAAAGAACATATCGCTTCTTTTCCCTTGCTTTATGACACTATCGAGCTTATACGGCATTTTTAACTCCATACATATCGATCTATGTATCTACCTGATTTTAACCATGAATGTTACGCCACCGTTACCCAGCGGCAACAGCAAACGTTCAAGCTGAGTCAGTTAATGTTACTGATAATGAGGGTCATACCATGACCAAATCAGCGGTGAAGAGTTATAATTTGTGTTCACGTCCACGACGGAAAATATCCGTTGTCAAAGATATCCAACCTTCGCGTTTCCTCATTAAATTGTTACTTCTATCGTTCTACCTCAATATGCTCCCAGCAAACGTTCAATATATGTGTCGAATATATCTGTCCTACGAGTGTGATTGAAGGTTCGTGATTCAAGCAAAGTTACTGTAACCTTGTGTACGCTGTATCGCAAAGAAACAAAGAGGTACTTACCGGATGAAGAACGCAGCAATTAGGACAACAGTACCGTTGGCAATCGCTGTCCGTCCATGCGACGCATGTTCGGTGCTGAAAAGTACCGCAATGGACGCATTGTACGAGTTCAGCCGTTTCCTGGTGTAAATCGTCTTCCGAACAAAGACAGTTTAGCGAGCAGTCGCTGGGGGCATCTAGGAGATCTGCAGCTTTGGTATTCTCAGTCAACTCGCAGCCAGTATCACGAAATGATTGTCCCTTCGCGTCTCTGTCTTCACGATCACGTGAATACCTATGGCATAAGATGCATGAAAGCACCTCGATCGTTTTTCCTAGGCCCATTTCTTCGGCTAAAATGCCCCCGTTGCGACTGATGTCGACAGACGGCCTCACTTTGCAGAACATGCCGTTACACACGTCCCAAAAAACTGTCTGCTGGCGAGT